CACACACACACACACACACACACACACACACCATCTGTTTGCAGGCTTATTGAAGTGCATTAGTTGTACCTTTCTGCAGGATGAGATGCACTCTACTGTCCTCTATACCCTCAAGCCAATGTAAGAGTAAATACACAGAGCCTTAGTGTAACTGACTAGAATTCATGTGATGAGGCACCTTCTTTACTGTTATGAGTCAAGTAAATACTGGTGCAGTAAAACACTGACACTATGTGTACAGCCTTCATAGTATTAACTGAAATAATGTGTTCTGTGTGACAGTAAAGCTATGCAGATAAATACAGTTGAAATAGTTTAAATTAGTCAGCTCACCAAAATTACATAAACAGTTGCTGCATCTCAATTTGCATACTTCTGTTCTTATTCTGTTTAGATTTATAAGTAGCTGCATTGATAACATACAGTTGGGGCCCTCTAAAGACTCAACAGCATAGACTGTATATAAAGATGGACGACATGAGAGCTCCCCAAAGTAAAGCCAAAAAGTCTTAAATGGTTGGCAGCAGTAGAAGGTCATAAATCCTTCCTCCTCCATAGTCATGGACACTTCTTATCTTCAACAGTTGCTGTTTTGACTACACAGCGGAAGACGAGCAACCACCAATGAATTTTAAAATCTGTGAAAATGGCGAATGGGGAAGGAAGACATAGCTGCAGCAGATATACAGTAAGTGTAATCTTCATGCTAAGGTTAAGTCAGATGAGCAAAGCGGCCATGCTGATATTTTAGGGGGGCTTCAAATGTCACCAGGATTGCTTTAACCCATTTCTCTATGCTAAGCTAAGTTAGACAAGCACAGGTTTAATACAATTTTTTTACAGACAGACACCTGAGTGGTATCAATCCTATTTTGTCCAACTTTCAGCCATAAAGTGTAATTCTCAAAATGTCAAATTAAAGCAAAACCATGTACATGGATAGATAACACAATGGTATGTAAGACTCTTTTTTATATATACTGATGTTATAGATCAGTGTTTCTCAAACTTGTCTTGTCAATTTTTAACCTCCCCAACATCTTCAAGTTGTTGTCTTTCAAATGTCAATATGACTCTTTTTGTATTCTCCACATTTTGTAAAATGATATTATGATATATTGTATTGCAGAGCTATTTTTATAAGCATATCAAATTAACGTCTCTATCTCAATCCTACAAATCTCAAAGGACTCTGTACGTATACAGTATCGACTAAGTAATTCAATTAAATAATTGTAACTTGAGTAGTTAGAAGAGCTGCTGTTATCAGATCCACCATGTGCAGGTTAAACAGTCCTCAAAGCCATTTTCCATTTCCCCTCTTGCTGTGTCATAGTGCGCTCATAGCTTTCTATTTGTGCTCAGAGAAGATGATCACTCACAGAGTACCCGCCCCCCCCAACTCTCTCCTACTGCCCTTCAATTACAGTAATTAATGGTTCATCCATAGATAAGCCAGGGTGCCAGGCGTAAGTGAGTTGTGAAGTGAGTGGGAAATTAAATGTGTGACTTGAATGGGAAGCGCCGCAAAGACTGTTGCAGAGTGTAGACAAATGAAAAGCTGATGATATTACTAGTCACGGCCTTGTGAGAGGAGAGTGAAAAGGAAAGTGTCACGCTGGTGAGAGAGAGTGGCAAGAAATAAAAGTTGGATGATTTAAGAAGGGGAGAGGCAGACGGCAAGTGGGTGAAAGAAAGGACATGTACCGAGGAGATGTGTGAGGGGAAGAAGTGAGCAAGATGGCAAGACTGATTAAAATATGCAGGAGGTGATGGATGTTGTGCTGCAGAGTTTCTCAACAGGGTCATGACGGGTAAAAGCAAAGATGTAGTTATATAAGTTTTATTAATGATGAGTTTAATTTATGTAGGTGTGTTCAATCTGTACTTGGCCTTCTCATATAACACGGATCCATGCTACGGTCACAAACCCACAGAGTGATCTGCTGCTACATGGCTCTTACGACTGGCATTTGTCGTACCTCTATCATCTTTTTACGCATGACGTTTTTTAAAAAAACATTAAAACATTAGCTGGCTACATGGCAGTTGAAGAGCTGGCATCAAAAGAAGAAGTCACTGTCGTGTTTTTTTTGACATTTTTCACAAATTTCCCAAGGAACAAGGGCGTGGTCGCAAACATGCAAATGCAGCACTGGCAAACCTTTGCCTTCTGTTCACTCTGATTCTATGAGAGCGAGGGTTGTGAATAAAACATCTGCTCCTTGTGGTGTAGCAAATCTGCAGAGTGCTCAACTTTGATGAACTTGGATCGGCAACGTAACAGGTTTATGTTTGTGTGGTTGACTCCATTTAGCCATCATTGATGTCACATCCTGCACTGTCCATATTCAGCAAGCGATAATAGCCTGCGTTATTCGCCGTGGTTGGCGATTATCATTCGCATGCATCGAGGCATGTGTGACCGTGCCCTAATTCATGGATCTTGAGGTAACTGATGATTGTGTGTGAGATTTGGGACATTGGTGAAGGTACACGCTCTACTGAGTTCCATTCCAGTGTTTTTAGGTTTTACATGATATCATATTGGGATTTCAAAAAATGGTGGCCATTTTTCTACATTTTTTTTCTATTTTATCAACTAATTGATTCATTCAGAGGTAATAATACACTGAAGCCCACTGCAACCAGAGTGTGATAAAAGCAGAGGAGTTTTACAAACACTGTTTGACCCAGACCTGATGAGAAGTGAGACAAAGAGTTCAACAAGTGCAGGCACAAGTGTAGACACAAAGAAGAGAATTGATGGTGGAGATATAACAATCCTCTTAATTACATTACTATTCACAAAGAAGCAGAGTGTGAGTGTAAACGGCATCTCCCGCTGATGAACAGCCTCAACAGAAACCACTCAGGAGAAAGTCCCCTCCCTCAGCAGAGCCATTACTCTGCACATTCCTCTGCATCATTGTTCGCATGACTTACCAAAGAGCTGGCGGTGGAATATAAACTTCCCGGCAAACAGGCCGGTGATGATGGCCAGCGTCCAGCATATTACTTTCAGGATGTTCCATCCGAGACCCAGGTACTTGTTGAACAGGAAGGAGAAGCAGTTGCCCACCACGATCATATGGGCCTCGGTCTGGCTGTGAGAGATGGGGTCCTCGGCGAATATGAGGAAGTTAAAGAAGGTGACTAGGTAGGCCACAATGAGACGCGACCACGGGTGCTGGAAATAGTAGCGAAAGCGGGCATCTATTTCCATCCTGCTGAGCCACCCAGCCACACTACACCTGAGAATCAGGAAGAGAGAGAGAAAGAGTGGGATGTATCAACATGTTGTACATGAATGGGAAAGAAAATTTAAATTAAATTACACAATAAAACAGCCAGTAGAGTTCATACCTCCACAAAGGCCCAACAGTCACTTAATGAAACCACATTTTAAATCGTTAGATCTGGATTTTTGTACAGATCTGCACCAAACTACACACTCTTATAGATATCAATCCTCTAAATAAACCTGTTTTTTTCAGCAAGATCTATGAATTATTCGTTAAGAAATTGGTGAAAACATTGAAAAAATGAGTCGCAATCTGGCAATGTTGAAAAAGTGCAAAGAAATGTGTGGATCCATGCCAAAATTGAATGGGTTCTTACTTGGCCCACGTCCCTTCCTTCCACAAAGTTTTGTGGAAGTCCTTATAGATTTTAAACAAACTATGGCAGAGTGCATACCTCTGCAACAGTCATAAATATCAATCCTTTATAAATGTCTGATTTTTTTTCATCAGCCAGTAGTTGTTGTGTAATCTTGCAAACTAACACACAAACCACCTGACAAACGAACGGACAGGGGCGAAAACCTGACCTCCATGATGGAGATATAGAAAGTCATTGAGGAGATAACAGGAACAATGAGCAGAATGGGAGAGACTGCAAAAATCTTGCAACAACCAAATCTTGCAACAATGCCCTGATATGAACAAAGCAATCATTATAACAAAGTGTTCTGTGAGATTGCAGAATTCATCAGGATTAAATTGCAGCTTTGGTTTTATATTGAGGTGAAGTAATGAAAACAGCAACTGTTGACAGGCTCCCGTTTACAGTGTAAAGAAAGTGCTTCTTTCAGTCAGATTACGTCACGCTCAGATCAGCGGGGCAGATTAGGGTGAAAACATCCCTCGGACTCAGATTAATGTTGGTACTATCACTGAGGATTAGCACAGACTGGGATTATTATGCTAAATTCAGACTCATTCAGTTCAGAGACAGTGCTGATAACACATTTCCACAGAGATTTCTAAACACAACCCCCCCTTCAATGCTAAGATCATGACACAGGACACAGAGGTCCTGATGTGACAGGTTCGTCCTGAAACACAGACGTTCACATTCTTCATCGTTCAGTGAAAGAAGCTGAGCTGTGTGTCATACCTTAATGAGGTAGAGTCCCTGAGGCTCATGGCTGTAAAGTGCCGACTTTTTAACAGCTCATCTCTCAGCCTGTCTGCTCTGTCTCCCCCACAAGAAAAACTGGAGCAGCATTATGTTTGATTCTTTCCTCGGGAACTCCAGCCGAGCAGCGCTTGAGCAACTTCTCGACAGTCCACCGCCCCTCTGTATTTTTATATCCAATTATTACTCACCAATGAACTCCCATCGCTATATCCCCCCTGCAGCTGGTCTGAACTTCCCCTGTATTGACACCATTACCAAAAATACCCCACAGTGGGAACTTGGAGTGATGTCACAGCTTCAGAAATAGAGCTGCCACTGTGGTGCACCCGTGTGGCTATTAAATTTCACCAGCATCATGTTTTCCTCACAAGTATCTGCCACCTTGACTGTTGCTAAGCTAGTGGTTCCTCCTAATAGAATCCCTTAATTGTGCAGATATAATATTATTTTATAATATTGATATTATTCTGTTTATCCCATTTAAACTATTGAGAGGAGTGGGCTCTCTGTGATTTGGGGGGGGGGGGGGTCTGCCCCCACATTTGAGCCCAGGGCCTGAGGAAGGAGAGACTTTGGCTGAGCAATATGGCCAAAAATTATATCGAGATAATCATAATAAATGTCACATTATTGTTATTTCTTTTAGGTTCAAAGTCTCACTTTTGCCTCCATGTAAAGGTTGTGGTTTTAAAAGTTTATTTTGAAAGTTGTTCCTCACGCTTGTCGAGAGTTAAGGTCAGAGGATGTCGCTTCTTGTATAGATTGTTAAACGGTGATTTATGGGCTACAGAGGCACAATTTGATTTGATTCGAAACACTAATGGGCATAAATTGACAGACGCTCAGAGGTAGACTGATGAGGTGTTGCATGCAGACGTGTAGCTGGAGTCTGTTATACAGTTTAAATTCAATACATGTTGAGTAATCAGGTTTTTTTTAAAAAGGTTTCATTTATATTTTTGTCAAAAATATTTTTTGACAATAGATATGAATATGATTGGGTCTGAGGGGGTACGTCTTATATTTCCATGGTGGAACGGATCATTTGTGTGAGGGCAGAGCACCTGATAGTTTGGAAGCAATGGGTTAAAATAATCTTGGTTTAAGTGCAAGATACAGATTATCCGAAGATTTGGAAAGTTCAGAGGTTTCTTCCTGACTCCCATCAAGTAACGTGGCCAGTGAGTTCAGACTGTAGCTCTTCTCCAGTTTAATCACGAACAGAAAGACGGCATTGAGACAGAATTATTTTCTTTTGATAGAAATAAATGCCTGTAGCTAAAAGAATGCCTCGTGGTCGTGTTTCAACTGGAGGGGAGCTACAAGAAGCAATCTTTTTTTCTTATTGCTATAAAGGAAAATCTTGTTGCAATAATTATTGATAGTTTTATCACCCAGCCCTAGGAGGGAGAGAGCCTAACATGGAGTGGGACTCTCCAAAGGATGGGGACACAGTATTTCATTTGGTGGTAGGCTTCCACTTAAACACTGCTAATGCAATGAGGTGAATTTGCAAAATCTGTGATAGGGCTGGGCAATAAATCAATATCAATAATTATCACAATATAATTTTCATCAATACCAATACAACAATATATATCAATAAATATGTTATAAATGCACATAGGGGAGTACAACTCAAAATAATTTAAACACCTCAAATTTGTGACATGCTGTTTATAAGGTGTTCAATCAGAAGTCTTCAAACTTAGAAGAAATAACAATGCCACATTTATCATGATTATTATCGTCAGCCCGAATTTCACACCTTTTTTTTGACATTTTATAGCCCAAACAACTAACTGAAGAACTAATCAATAGCTTTATTGATAATAGTCATTAGTCACAGACGATTTGATCAGTGTCTTAGTAAAATGTTCTACTGTTTTCTGTTTGTCACAGTTTAAAACCAAAACCGTCAATTAGGAGCAAACATCTGTATTTAAACTTATAATGTGACATTTATCGCGATATTTACCGATATAGACTGATGTGAACGGTTTAGTCCTGGCATCAATTTTGGCCAAATCATCCAGGGCTAACTTGTGACATCATCATGTCCATGGTCCTTGGTTCTTTCCTTTTAACCATCAGAAAGACATTGCTCTCCCACAGGAAACTCACCATCAGTTCCAGTACTTTCTGAATGGATCGCTGTGTACAGGGGCGAGGGTGTGTGACCACTCACATCCTCTGTGCTGTCACCACACTGATGACGCCAGATGTCACATCTCAGGACCCCACGAGACAACAGACAACATGCTCCACTGGGTTCATCCGATTACACAACTTCAACGTCGGCGCAGCCTGGCACATCCGGGACGAGCCAGAACCGTGCAACAACCCTACCTGCCGCACCTGTCCCACCAAAGATACTACACCTCGGTATCATGTGTGCATGTGTGGAGGATGAAACCGTGAACGCACCTGCTCCACGCCACTCTCCTCCTCCTCCTCCTCCTCCTCTTCCTCAGAGCGCAGCCAGGACGTGGAGCCCCGCACGGCTCTCCTGCCACATCAGGCCGACAGCGGCGCTCCGATCACCCCGAACACTGGCTGCTGATGCGGGATTATCCATGCGACCTGTTGTTGGTACACGACAGAGGCGCCCCCCCCCCAAAATCCTTTGCCATTGTCCTGGACCTTCCGTGCGCCGGGTGGGCTACAGCGCAGCCGGGCGGTGCTTCGTCAGCGGGTTCCCGCCGGGCGGTGCAGGGTGCGGGGCGGCTGACTGGAGCCTGCTGCTGTGGAGCGGATGGACGGATGCAGATGTGTGGATCCACTCAGCGAACACAGCATCAGTGTAAAACAATGTGGCCGAAACACGTTGATACACCAGCGACGAGATGGAGACGAATTTACACACCACTTCCGTCCACACCTTTCAAAATAAAACGTAGTGAAGAAGTGGGGCGTTTGGGTCAGTAAATGTGCAATTCATTCAATCAATCAATCAATCAATCAATCAAACATTCTTTATTTGTATAACACAGTTCATACAGGTTAGTGCTGCTCACTGTAGTTCTTCAGAGTTAGTACTTTAAATGTGTTATTATGGTGCTTATTTTATATTTCAATGTATGATTATGATG